AGTAAAAACGCAAGACAATCTAGTGCTCGTCATCTGTAGCAAATTCAAAACCCCAGGCTATCTCTGTGTTGAAAGGGGAGGCAGCGATTGAAATCCAGAAAAGCATTTCATAGGCTGGCATCCTTTCCCGCCAATTTGCATGTGCAAATTCAGCAGCAGGGAGCTACACTTGACTTACATCCACAACTGAGTCCCAGATTTCTGTTGTTAAGTGAGACAGTTGTTAAGTGAGTTGTGCCCCATTTTATGACCTTCCCTGCCACAGTTGTTAAGTGAATCGCTGCAGTTGTTAAGTTAGTAACCTGGTTGTTAAGTGAATCTGGCTTGCTCATTGACTTTGCTGGTCAAAAGGTTGTGTTGAAAGAAAAGTCTTCATTGTGGTTCAGTCCAAGCTGGGAATAAACATGGCGACTGCTTTAGGAAGAAGGTTGCAGTTTATTGAAGAGGAGAGCCAGACAGAAAGATGGGTCTGGCAGAAAAGAGGGAAAAATGGGGCTGAGCACATGTAGGGAGTGGGTTTTTATACCCTCAAGCCTTTTGTTTGGAATTGCTTCCTGTTCCTGTTTTGAGGCTTTGTATTTCCTGTGTCTGGGTGTGCCCTTTGACATCTGTGGGTTAATCCTATTATGTCCTGTCTTAGACTTTGGATGGGGTATGTAGATTTTAGGTGTCTTTGTCTTCTTAATCTTCTAGCTGGGGCTTCCAGCCTTCCTGGATGGTTTACATCTGCATTTGTACAGAGGTAGTTTTCTTCAGGCTCAGAAGAAAACTGGGCATGCTTTTCTGCCTCTTTAAGATCCTTTGAGGAAATATATTTTCCTGCCCTTTTTAATATTTTCTTCTCTGAGGGGCTGACTTCCCACAGTTGCAAAAGGTGATCACGGGACCCCAGGACACTGCAACCATCATAAATACATTCCAGTTGCCAAGCACACAAATTTTGATCACATATGACCGTGGGGGTGCTACAATAGTCATAAGTGTGAAAAATGGTCATAGGTCACTTTTTTCAGTAACCTCGAATGACCACTTAACAAATGGTTGTAAGTCAAGGACTACCTTTATTGCAAACAGAAGTGACAAGAGTAGTATTTTAAGTACCTGAAAAAGCTTCATAACACAGTCTTTCCAAATGTCATTTTTTTAAAATCACAGCAGCTCTGCATTTTCCATAGTGTGGTCTAAGAGCATTTTGAATTGCACCCGTTGAACTCTGAATGCAGTCTTTTTTTTTTCAGGAACCAGCACTGTGCATGGCGCCCGGCTACAGTGGAACAGGAATAGGACTGTGCTATTTCTGCTTCTGAAGTCTGTGCAGCAAGCACACTTAATCTGTAGAGGGAAGATACATACAAGTAGTATTAGATCAAGACACAGTTTCTCCTTTGAGAAAAAGGAAATGATTGCATTTTTTTTTCTGCCCCACAGATGGAAAGCTATGTGTTGAGGGAGTAGTATGTGAAATAGAAAACTGACAACACCCCCATGTGCCTTTTAAACCTGTTTCCTTTCTGCTCCTACCTGGATGCAAACATCTGGCCTTAAACGCTTCCTCTTTTTTTCAGGTGGATGTCATTGTTGTAATTAAGTTATTGTGCACTATTTTTTTATTTTTTATATATATAAATTTGATTAGTTTTTATAGGATTAGGAATGAGATGGCGTCGGGATTGGAGTTGGGATTTGGATTAGGATTAGGGTTGGGGTTGGGGGTTAGGATTTTTTCAAATAACATTCTCAATATTTAGCACAACGTCTGGGTTCATGTGTTTAACAAAAAATAATAATTAATTATCATAAACAATATGTTAATTAATCGCTCGATAGTCTTCTTCTTGCTAATATATATTCAAAGTTGCATAGCACATTCCTTTCTCTCTAACTCGTTTTTCTAGCCATTGATAGAAATTATCCCATGTTCTAAAATACACTGAGTCTTCTTTCTCTTTTATCTTTAAAGTCAATCTATCCATTTCTGCACACTCTAAAATTTTCTTAATTAATTCTTCTTCAGTTGGTAAATTTTCATTTTTCCAATGTTGGGTAAATACAATTCTTGCTACAGTTAGTATGTGTAAAATGAAATATATACAATCTTTCTCATAATTTGCACCTGTTATTCCTAACAAAAATAATTCTGCCTTAAAGTCTATTTGTTTTTTAGTCATTTTCGCCAGCCATAAATGTATTCTTAACCAAAAACTTTTTGCTTTAGGGTATGTCCACCAGATATGGTAACAAGTACCTGATCTTTGTTTGCATTTCCAACAATTATTTGAAATATTTTTAAACATTTTTGCTAATCTCAATGGTGTCATATGCCATCTGTAAAACATTTTATATAAGTTTTCTTTATATGCCACTGCTTTAGTTAGTTTAACATTTCTTTCCCATAACTTTTGCCAGTCTTCTAATTCTATATTATATCGAAAGTTCTTTGCCCATATTATCATTGTTTCTTTTACTTGTTCTTCCTCCATCTTTAAGTTTAACAGATATTTATAGAGTTTCTTAATCAACTTTTCATCTGTTTTTAACAGTATCTAGTCAAATTCTGTCTGTTCTTTATAGAATCCCATTATTTTAGCATCTTTTTTCATATCTTGTTTTGATTTGCAAATATGGCCACCAAGATAGATCAATACCTTGTTCTTGTAAATCTTGTTTGTCTTTCAATTTTCCTTCATTGTCTAAGATATCTTTATAGATCACAACTTTTCTGTAATTAATTAAATTTGGGGAAGCAAAAGCTTCCATTGTTGAAAGCCATCCAGGTATCTTGATGTAAATTTTTGCTTTTATTTTTTCCCATTCTGAAAGAAGTGCATTTCTTACAAAGTGATTTTGAAAGTATGTATTTTATTCTTCCCATGCCACAGAAAGGCATGCCAACCAATTTGTAGGTCAGGTGTAATAGTCTTTTGTCTCTAAGCATTATCCATTCTTTAAGCTCCGGTATGTTAAAATAGTTGCTTGGTAGTATAATATCCAATCCAGCAGTCCAAATCCTCCACTTTTTTTCACTTCTTGTAGCATTTTCAGTCTAATTCTAGCTTTTTTTCCTTGCCAGATAAATTTCAGTATTGTTGTATTCAGTTCATCAAAAAAAGCTTTTCCCACCTATTTTGAAGCCTCCCTTCAGTCTTAAAGCATTTTAAGGATTGCTTTAATGTTGCTACTGCAGTTGTTAATTATTTTTATCATAAAACCAAAGTATGAACTTCTGATGAAATGGAATCCGTAAAAACATCTAGGCACGTTCTTCCCTCTACATCAGTGTTTCCAAACTTAACCATTTTAAGATGTGTGGACCGCAACTCTCAGAATACCTCAGCCAGCAACTTTTGAGCCCAAAAGTTCTGTTGCTAAGTGAGACAGTTGCTGAGTTTTGCCCCATTTCATGACCTTTCTTGCCACATTTGTTAAGTGAATTACTGCAGCTATTAAGTTAATAACACGTTTGTTAAGTGAATCAGGCTTCCCATTGACTTTGCTTGTGATCATGTGATCATGTGTATCCTGGGATCATGTGATCAAATATGATCACATGATCCCAGGATACTGCAGCCATCATAAATACACGCTAGTTAACAAGCATCTGAATTTTGATCACATGAATGTAGGGATATTGCAATGGTCATAAGTGTGAAAAACAGTCATAAGTCACTTCTTTCAGGGCCCCAGATTCATCAGCTACTTTGCCAGAATAGAGACTTGCCACGTATGGGTCTGCCATATCTTCTAATTGTGTTCAGTTGAATGATCATATTACCAATTGCAATACTATAGTTCTAATGTATTTCTAAAATGAAAACTCATTCTTCACAACGAGGTTTGTTTTGCTTTTTTAAACTTATAATAGAAAAGCAATTTCAGGCTCTCCATTTAGCACTGGAAACATTTCCTCCTTAGAAGTTAAAAATGTATAAGCATGTGTTGGTGTGCAAAGCAGAAAAGTAGCTAATTGTAATTTAATTTTAATTTCCATTGTAATAAATGGAAATAATATAATATAAATATAATATAAATAAAACAATATAAATGCCAACTTTGTATTAAAATATGAAATAAAATATATAAAATATAAAATGCAACTAAACTTCGGTGGCATTGATCGAGGTTTATGGAGTAGCAGTTTAGTATATTTGATGATGGCTCAAGAATGAGGTTTTATATAATGAATAAATGATCATAAAGGGCAGAGGTGAAGAAAATGAATAAGCTGAAGAAAAGCTCTGGTGTTCCAAAACAATTGCCTATTATTCAGAAAGCTTCAGTGTTTAGTTGAAAGCACTCATAAAATTCTTCCACTGAAATAATCTCAGATCGTTTTAAAGGGCTATTTTCCCTTATATTATTTGAATCAAAAATAATTTTACCTTTGCCCAAAATTGTTTGAGAGAATATAAAAATTGATTTTGGAGGAGTAGGGGCTAATTGTTGTTATCCGATCTCTGCTGGTGATTTCCAAAACCAGTTGTTGTTTTTATGAACTTTGTACAGGAATTAACATTTTCAAGCAAAGCAAGCTATAAAGAAATGGGTTGAAAATCTGTATAAGCTCTTTTTTGCCTGGACATGCCCTTTTAAGATATCTGTAGCAAAATCCCAAAGAAAACAGTCTATATCATTTGTGGTTCCTGTTGACATAAGCAGAAGAAAACACAGAAATAATTGGACTGTAATTTTCTTTCTCATGAGTTTTCTATGATGATGAAAGGAGTGAAAATAATAGAACATTTTACAGATTAACACTTGATTCACACTTGTACTAGTATTTCAAGATATTTGCTGTTTTTTTTTTCAATTTGGGACTAGAAGAAATGAAGGTCATAGGTTTCACGCAGTTTAAGACTGTAAGGAAAAAGGAAGAAAATAAACATTTGAAAAAAAAACAACAGGAATCCAGACTGCCTACTTCAACTCTGTCAACTATTTGAGTTGCTTTAGGAAAAGAAGAAATGTTCTCTGGTTAATGCTTATTTCTTTCTGTATTTTAGGGCAGGTGAAAGTCTTTCGAGCCCTGTATACGTTTGAACCCAGAACAGTAAGTATATTTCTACTTTTTCAAAATATGTTAAAAAGGAAAATTTGAATATGAAGAGGTAACTTCCTCCAGACTATTTTTTTTATGAACATGAAACACTGGAAGGAGTATATGTATTTCCCCTGTGGAGATGAAATATCATCCAATTTTTATTTTTTAGATTAAAGCTGCTGTTTGTTCATCATTCATATTTACTGAGAACTTAGTCACATGTCCTGCAGATTGTGTCTTGCCTTCTAAGTAAAAATGAATGTTGTTTGTAATTTAAAGTAGACAACTCAGCCTTTTCATTGCTAAATCATATTCTGGTATGTGGTTTAGGCCTTGATTGTGCAAATCCCGCCAACTGATCCAGTCATTCCTGAGCAAACAGTTCAAAACGGCTGAAAGAAGTATGACAGGAAGTGGCTCATGATTGCAAATGGCATTCTTAACCACTAAGAATTAAGAAAAAAATTATTTTAAAACAATGTTGTGTCCATCTCCTCCTTCTGCATTAATCTTCTGATTTTATACAAAGTTTTGAGGTATGATTTCCTCAGTGATCTTAACCTAACTGTTTTCACGATTTGAATTTTATGGTAACCTCACTGAAACTTTGCAATGGTGAATGGTATGTTAATGTTTTAAATCAACCAATTTCTGTAATTTGACAGTTCAGTCTGCTATTGTGCTAAGTTACATCATGTCTTGGAACTGGTTTTTCACAATGTTTTTCTCAATGTCTATCTTTACTCAGTGTCTTTGGCCTTAACCTGTGACATTTAGAAATCTGGAATTTAGAGGATTATAAAAGAATCTAAGCCTCATCGCTCACTTTTGATGCACCTTAGGGCAGGCGTATCAAACTCGCCACTTGACGTGTCACGACGTATTGCAACTTTTTCCCATTGCTGACAGTGGGGTGGACATGGTTTCACCATGGTGCATCCGGCCCGCGGGCCAGCAGTTTGACACTCCTGCCTTAGGGAGACCAGGAATAGATTAGCTTCTGCTTGTTTGCTCCAATCAATTACAGTAAAGTATTGGGACGCAACTCTTGCTTGCAAGATGTTTTCTGAGCCCTTGTTCTGCCTTGGATAAATTGTAGAGGTAATATTCTCTTAGCTGTTATTCTATCATTTCATCTCAGCAGGGCCAGCATTTAGCTGATACTGTCTGGGACTGGAAGCTAAGTAGGATTAGGCTTGGTTAGTACTTGGATGGGAGCCCCTGAATAATACCAGAGCTGAAATTATACCAGAAATAAAGCTAAAAATTGGACCATTTCATCAAAATTACAGCTTGGGCATTGCAACATTCCTTATTTGTATGTGACATCAGAACACTCATATAAAAGGAGCAGAGTTTGCAGCATGAGAGCACAATTGTTTTATTAGTTTTCTCTGCTGTTTTCTCTGATGGATACCTCTGACAAAAATATCTTTGCTGATTTTGGGTGTCAGGTTTGTAAGATTGGTGGAATAAGCAAATAGACAGAAATAATAATAATAGTAATAGTAATAATTAATATTATTATTATTATTATTAATTATTATTCTGGGACTTCAGAATTCAAACAGACAAGCACCTGCAACATAACACTCCAGACTTAACAATTGTTGATAAGAAAGACAAAAAAGTCTGGATAGTGGACGTGGCAGTGCCTGGAGACAGCAGAATAGACGAGAAAGAATTGGAGAAGATAACAAAATACAAAGACCTACAAATAGAAATAGAAAGACTGTGGCAAAAGCAAGCAAGGGTAGTACTAATAGTGATAGGCTCCTTGGGTGCAATCCCAAAACAACTGGAGCACCACTTGAACACCATTGGCATTGACAAATTCGCTATTAGTCAATTGCAAAAGGCAGCCTTACTAGGAACTGCTTCCATCCTGGACGATATCTGTAATACCATCAAACATCCACATCTGCCTATCCCAGGTCCTGGGTAAGGACTCGATAGGTAGACAAAATGCCAAATCCAGTCTGGACATCTGGCTGACTGTGCGATGATCCATAATAATAATAATAATAATAATAATAATAATAATAATAATAATAATAATAATAATAATAATAATAATAAGGAAAGTTGGAAGGGACCTTGGAGGTCATCTAGTCCAACCCCCTACTCAGGCAGGAAACCCTATACCATTTCAGACCAATGGCTGTCCAGTCTCTTCTTAAAAACATCCAGTGTTGGAGCATTCACAATTTCTGGAGGCAGGTTGTTCCACTGGTTAATTTTTCTAACCGTCAGGAAATTTCTCCTTAGCTCTAGATTGCCTCTCTCTTTGATTAGTTTCCATCTGATTCAGTAATCTGGTATTAGCACGCAGAGCTTCCTTGTTTTGTCTAAGCTCCTGAAGGAGAACTGCAAAACCAATAAGCATTTTTGACCCCTCTCACTACAAAACCAGGGAACTAGGAACTAGTCTGGGAGTGGGAAAATACTATTCCTCTTTGGCCCTATAAATCCCATTGCTATGTATCTATAATGCAAGAGACTCACAGATGTATCTATACCGCAACAGACTCCAAATAGTGTTGGAGAGCCATTAGGCACTTCTGTTATGTCATTATATGGCACTGTGGGGTTTGTTACTCGCTGTATGTGAATGATGGTGAAGAGAGAGATGGGGAAAGAATGGCTAGGGATGGCTCAAAGGCAGACTGAGAATGTACTTGGCAGCCCAGCTTTCAAAATGTTTTCATTCAGATGGATATGAGAGTTGCAGACTGATTAGCACATGACACAGGTCTGTGGCTTCTTATTCTGATTACAACAGCAGTGCATATATTCAATCCCTTAGTTATGCATACTAGAATAACTGAATTGGGAGGGATCTTGGAGGTCTTCTAGTCCAACCCCCTGCTCAAGCAGGAGGCCCTATACATGCTGGACAAAGGATTGTCTAATCTGTTCTTGAAAACGTCCAGTGTTGGAGCACCCACAACTCCTGGAGGCAAGTTGTTCCATTGATTAATTGTTCTAAGTGTCAGGAAAATCCTACTTAGTTCTAGGTTGAATCTCTCCTTGATTAGTTTCCATCCATTTCTTCTTGACCTGCCTTCAGGTGCTTAGAAAACTAGTTTGACCCCCTCTTCCTTGTGACAGACCCTTAGATATTGGAACACTGCTATCGTATCAGCCCTAGTCCTTCTTTTCATTAAGCTAGATATACACAATTCCTGCAACCGTTAATGTTATGCTTTTTCTCCAGTCCCCTAATCAACTTTGTTGCTGTTCTCTGCACTCTTTCGAGAGCCTCAATATCTGGTGATCAAAACTGGATGCAGTATTCCAAGTGTGGTCTTACCAGTGTAGTATAAAGTGGTACTAGCACTTTACATTACCTTCCTCCTATGGGTTGCTCTTAGCTATGCAGCAAAATCCGCCTCATTAGCATTATTCTTGTACTTGGTTCCAGTTTCAACACAATGACACAGCCATTCTTCAGCATCTATAGATCAATAAAAATAAGGAGCATTTGCTATTTCATTTTGATTCATAGGAAGTTTTACTCTTCTGTTGCACTGTATTTTTTCCATCAATAATCAGTAGATGGCAGCAGGGGACAACAAAACTCTCATTTTCTTACTGTATCCTAAGTGGAAGGACAGTAATTACATTATGAGCACAACGTATTATCTTGCCTCAATATGTGGAATGTGTGGGCATGTATGTGTTTCTGGAAATATGGGATTGAATTAGGTACATGTCAAGAACCAGGAAAATCAGGAAATCCAGGCAGTTCAAATGTTTGTAAAGATTTATTGTAAGCTTGATCTGTACGACAATCTGAACTACTAACAGTCAAGGGAAATTAGTGGGAGTTAAGAATAGAAGGAATTCAAAGTGGGCTGGGCTTAGATCTCTTGTGGTCATGAAGGGAATCATGACTGATGATGCGTTTGACCCCTCCCCCGGGCCCAGCCTGGTTATCTCCTACGGCAGAGGTACCCAACCTTTTGCGCAACAGGGACTGGTTCTGCGGAGAAAAGTTTTTCCATGGACCGGAGGGGGCATGGTTTTGTGTGCTACCTGCATCCCACGGATGGGGCTTTGCTTGTTTGTGTGGACTGGTACCTGGCATGCCACGGCCCGGTATTGGTCCACAGACCGGGGGTTGGGTATATAGGCATTGAGTGGATATGGGTGTGCACATTTGGAATCAAAGGGCAAGTAGGCTTTTACAATTATTTTGTTTTTTTATTGTACATCTCTATGAGTTCATGTGAAATGGAGCAATACGTTAAAAATTAATACAATACAATAAAATAAAATAATACCCCTCTGGGTTTAATGAAAAGAAGGGCTTGGGTTGACTTTTATTGCAGTATTCCAATATCTAAGGGGCTGCCTCAAAAAAGAAGGGGTCAACCTATTCTCCAAAACACTTGAGGGCAGAACAAGAAGCAATGAATGGAAACCAATTAAGGAGAAAATGGCCTAGAATTAAGGAGAAATTTCCTGACAATGGAATCAATTAATCAGTGGAACAGCTTGCCATCAGAAGCTAAGGATGCTCCATCACTGGAGGTTTTTGAGAAGAGATAAGACAACCATTTGCCTAAAATAGTACTGGGTGTCCCGCTTGAGCAGAGGGTTGGACTGGAAGACTTCCAAGGTCCCTCCCAACTCTTGTATTTTGTACTTCTGTTAAATCTGTCTTGTAACTAGGAGGGGGGGGGGAACATTTTAGAATGGACCTGCATCCCAACAACTAGGTGGTTTCTTTTTTTCCCAGCCAGATCTAAGCTTTTTTTGGAATTCAGTATTTCATTTGCTGGCTTGTTCCCCACTACCTCACCCAATATAATTTAGTTCTATTTAGTTTTCAGTAATCCTGCTGAGAGGGGAAAAAGTTAAGTCCCAAGCACTTTTGCACAATTTTTTTCCAGGAAAAAAGCCAAAGAGGATGTACCAGCTGGCAGATGGGTTGCAGGGATACTGCCCTCTGAAAGGACAGGGCTAAATCATACAAGCCACAGAATCTCTTAACCATGCTTGCTATGATGCACAAATGCAATTTTTGATTTGGGATGCAAGGATTGGAATTGAAGCTGTCACTCAAATAAGGTCACCCAAAAGCATTTCAATGTAGTTTAAGTCAGTTCTTTAACTAATGCAGTGTATTTGTTGCTCCAGCCAGATGAATTGTATTTTGAAGAAGGAGACATTATCTACATTTCTGATATGGTGAGTTGATAAACAAAGCTACTAAATCACTCTCTCCTTAAGAAAATAAAATGACTATTGAACTGCCAGTTGCCTTTTTCAGCACTGCTTTCTTTCTTTTTCCTCCAGAGTGACACAAATTGGTGGAAAGGAACCTGTAAAGGAAGAACTGGACTAATCCCCAGCAACTATGGTAATTTCGTGAATTGTATTCCAAGAGATAGTTGTGAAGCAAAATAAAAATAATGATCCTTTAACACCATCAGACAACAACATCTGCCTATCCCAGGTCCTTGGGAAGGATCCAGTAGGTGAATAAAAGTGCCAAATTCAGTCTAAACATCTGGCTAGCCTTAAAAATAATAATGTGCTTTTCAGGTACATCTGTGAGTAGAATTAAAACTGAGATTCTGAACAATAAGATACATTAAGAACATTACACTCTTTTGGCCAAATTTCTTGGCCCTTGCTTTGCTTAGCTTCTTCCTTGAATTTAGATTATTCAACTTTTTTTTATAGTTCAACCATTTATCTTTAGAAAAATTGTTTTATGATGGTAGTAACCATTCTATCATGGCGCCCTTGACTGTCTCAACATTATAGAAATCCCTGCTATAATCTCAAAGTCTTGTTAAGAATATCCTCTGCAATATTAAAAGTCAAGATTCACAATCAGAGCAGAAAGGGGACCTGTTGAAAAGTTGAATACAGAGACATTTTGTTTTGAGATATCAGTCTCAAAAACCATGTACATATGCTTAGGTTCTGAGCCCGTTAACAGAGCTTCTCAAAGGAAGCCTGGTGAACTGCAGCTCTGAATGAGAATTTCTGAGAAATCAAAGATTCCTGGATTTGTTCACAGCCCATTGAATCTTTTGGCCAGATCCAAATGTTAGATGATGAATTCTGCTTGTGCCGCAAAGATACTCATATTTTTTCTTATCCTCAGCAGCTACAAACCATCTCCAAGATCAGGGGTCCTCAGATTTGGCCCTTTTATATCCTCAGGCACACTGACTGAGGAATTCTGGGAGTTGAAGTCCATAAGTCATAAAAGGGCCAAGTTTGAAGATTCCTGTCCTAGATTCAGAAACAAGCTCAGAAACAAACTTGGACAGATTATGAAGAGTTGCTTCAAGAATGACTCTGTTGTGTCATTCACAATATCCAAGCTCTCTTTGTTGATTTGACTCTTAAAACTATCATAACTAAGCAAGTTTGAGTAAATGCTTCTTGACTCATACCAGCATTAAATTATAATATGATATTGTTTCTTACTAGAAACAGTTTGAGAATTCTCACTTGAAATGCTTCAAACTGTTCTTACTTATAGGAACTTAGAAAGTAGGACCTGTTATTACCAGCACTCTAGATGTATGGTCCTTTAGGTCAGGGGCCCTCAACCTTGGCAACTTTAAGAGTTGTGGACTTCAACTCCCAGAATTCCTCAGCCAGCATGGCTGGCGGGAGAATTCTGGGAGTTGAAGTTCACGGGTCTTAAAATTGCCAAGGTTGGGAAGCCCTGACATAGACCATTAGTTCAAAGGAAGCTCTGCACACCTCTTTTAAATACAAATGTATTCACTTTTATTGCAGTATACTACAATCACTGGGGTTTTTTTAATCAATTTTTTTAACTGTATGTCAGACTATCTAGAGATGACAGTACAATTGTGTATATGTGTTTATCTTTTTAATTTGTCATAGCAAATATTATGTTCATAGATAAATCAAAAAGCTACAGATCAGAATTTTATGTATGCACATGAACATGTTATATTATACCCAAGGTTCTAAGCTGGACCTTCCCAGTTTTTTTCAATATCATAGAAGCTGTGGGTGTGCAGTTCCACTGCAGGTATAGTTTATTTTTCTCACATTGAAGTGAATAGTTTTTGCTTACAAGGAGCTCCATTAAAGATATCCAAATTCAGTGGAGCTTTGAGACATAATGGCAGAAGTTTATTGATGGACTTTAAATATATTAGTGCTATTGTCTTCAGCCCATTAAGAGACAGATTAATACAACTGGCTACATTGGCATGTATTTTTTTCTTTTTGTTTTAGTGGCTGAACAAGCAGAATCCATTGACAATCCATTACATGAAGCTGCCAAGAGAGGTAGGTGTAGGGTCAATATTGACCAAGGACTTCATCTGGTCTCTTTTCATTGATTTCTGGGCTGAAGTAGATCAATTTGTAAGGGTTTATTAAAAGCACACATTTTGTTGGTGAGCTTCCTCTTAACAACAGAGGTTTTTGATTCTTTCTTCTCCATCTGCTCTAGCGGGGGACTGACTTGAAACAAATGTGTGCATTTTTCCTCTATAATTTACACTGCCCTAGCAGTTAAGACCTTGGGCTTGTTGACCAGAAGATGGGCAGTTCAAAACCCAAGCACTGTGTGATGGGTTGAGCTCCCATTCCCGCCCCAGGTCCTGCCAACCTAGCAGTTCAAAAGCATGCAAGTAGATAAATAGGTACCACTTCAGTGGGAAGGTAACGATGTTCCATGCACCTCGGCATACAGACATGCCAACCACATGACCACGGAAGCCTCTTCAGACAACACTGGGTCCCTCAACTAGGAAACAGAGATGAGCGACACCCGCTAGCATTGGACAGGGACAGGGGAAACCTTTACTTTTATGGCAGATAAACAGTGGTGTACAGTATGAGAATGAGAAGTGTCTGATATGGGAAGCGGAAGAGAGATCGGATTATCTAAGTTACTGTAATCCTTTTCTGTGTTCAAAAGAAAAATGTCCAAACTTTCCCCCTCCCTTCTTTGTTATTTCTGTCTTTGGGGCAGATAATTTGGCTCCCATGTTTATGATGCACCTTTGTCCAACCCTGATGCTGTCCAGCTGTGTGGAACTATAACTTCTTTCATCAGCATCTGGAAATATATCCTGGATTGGAAGTTTTTGTCCAAATGACCAAAAAGCAGTGTCATGCATCACAACTCATTTTCCACTCCTCTTGTACAGGCACATGACATCAGGATGCACTTACCAAAGGGGTGATTCTTGGGTTGCATTGTTGCAATGCAGCTTTGGTTGATGGATATACATATCCATTCCAGGGATGTCTTTTTTATCCTACTAGGGTCAAAAGGTTAGGGGAATATATTCTCTAGCTTTATTTTACCCAAATAATTTTATTTTTCTGTTTTTATTAGCATATCGATTGAAACAAGTATTATTCTGATATTATCGTATGGTATTGACTAATTCATTATTTTCAAGAATTGATATAGTAACTGATGTGATATAATAGAAATTGCCTTAATAGGCTTTTAGCATGAACACCCACACACCTGATAAAAATAAACTAGTGAGACAAAATCGGGACTCTCCTAGGGATTGCATTTGTTTAAAGATCTTGTGAATGGAATTAATTTGAAAGTGCCAATACGTCAGTTTTATTTGGAATGTGCTCCAAGAAACCTATTTCCAGATACATTTGTAGAGATGTTGATTAATACTGTAGTCCAGGGATAGGTAACCTTAGTCTTTTATGACTCGTGTACTTCAACTCCAAGAATTCCTGAGCCAGTCCAGGAGTCCTAAAAGAGCCAAGGTTGCCTACCCCTGCTGTAGTCCAATGGTTCATTCAATGACTGTTCAAAGTTACAGCAGCACTGAAAAAAGTAACTTATAACTGTTTTTTATCCTTATGATTGTTGGCAGCATCCCCATGGTCATTGATCAAATTTCAGATGCTTGGCAAATGACTCATTATTTATGACAGTTGCAGTGTCCTGGGCTTATGTGATAATCTTTTGCAACCTTCTGACAAGCAAGTCAATTAGGGAAACCAGATTCACTTAACAGCCGTGCTACTAATATAACAATGGCGGAAATTCACATAACAACTGTGGCAAGAAAAGTCGTAAAATGGGACAAATTTCACTTAGCGACTTTCTTGCTTAGCAACAGAAATTTTAAGGCTCAATTGCGGTCATAAGTCGAGGACTAACTGAATATCCATCTCATACCTCGATCCATTTCATCTGTTGAAAGATGCAGAGATTGTCTTGCGAGGTCTGTCATCAATGGCAACGTCCTTTTGTCATGCAGTAATCCCCAATTGCTAGGTAGTCTGAACTTGGGAGGCATATCAGAAATGCTACTTTTTTCAATGACATACACAATGATGCATGGTTTAGTCACTGGTTTCAGTGAGGTAGAAAAATGTCCTCATTTTTTGCCCTGCTGATAAGGTGCTAGAAGGCTATGATTTTTCCCCAACTGACTTCTCCTCCATTAGCATTATTCAATCCATTCAGTATTCTGTTGATTATATGGACAATTCATATATATAGGTTCCATCAGATAAATTCTTTTGTTTTCAAGCACAAAATATTTAACATTTTATCCATGTGATTTATAGTATGTCCTCCTTTTATGCCCAAAAATATAATTTTCATCTTTCTAGAAGAAGAGGTTTGTGTGTGTGTGTGTGTGTGTGTGTGTGTGTGTGTGTGTATGTGTGTGTGTATGTGTATACATGGATAGATAAGCATGGAGGGGATAGATTGTGTGGATAGATAAGTGATAGAGAGGGAGAGAGATAAGCGATAGAGACGGAGAGAGAGAAATTAAATGGATATATATATATATATATATATATACACACACATACATACATACATACATACACACACACACACACACACAATGGGGCAAAAAAGTATTTAGTCAGCTACCAATTGTGCAAGTTGTCCCACTTAAAAGATGAGAGAGGTCTGTAATTGTCATCATAGGTATACCTCAACTATGAGAGACAAAATGAGAAAACAAATTCAGACAATCACCTTGTCTGGTTTGGAAAGAATTTATTTGAAAATTATGGTGGAAAATAAGTATTTGGTCACCTACAAACAAGCAAGATTTCTGGCTCTCATAGATCTGTAACTTCTTCTTTAAGAGGCTCCTCTGTCCTCCACTCATTACCTGTATTAATGGCACCTGTTTGAACTTGTTATCAGTATAAAAAACACCTGTCCACAACCTTAAACAGTCACACTCCAAACTCCACTATGGTGAAGACCAAAGAGCTGTCGAAGGACACCAGAAACAAAATTGTAGACCTGCACAAGGCTGGGAAGACTGAATCTGCAATAGGCAAGCAGCTTGGTGTGAAGAAATCAACTGTGAGAGCAATAATTAGAAAATGGAAGACATACAAGACCACTGATAATCTCCCTCGATCTGGGGCTCCACGCAAGATCTTACCCCGTGGGGTCAACATGATCACAAGAACGGTGAGCAAAAATCCCAGAACCACATTGAGGGAACTAGTGAATTACCTGTAGAGAGCTGGGACCAACGTAACAAAGGCAACCATCAGTAACACACTACGCCGCCAGGGACTCAGATCCTGCAGTGCCAGATGTGTCCCCCTGCTTAAGCCAGTACATATCCGGGCCTGTTTGAAGTTTGCTAGAGAGCATTTGGATGATCCAGAAGAGGATTGGGAGAATGTCCTATGGTCAGATGAAACCAAAGTAGAACTGTTTGGTAGAAACACAACTCGTCGTGTTTGGAGGAGAGAGACTGCTGAGTTGCATCCAAAGAACACCATACCTACTTTGAAGCATAGAGGTGGCAACATCATGCTTTGGGGCTGTTTCTCTGCAAAGGGACCAGGACGACTGACCTGTGTACAGGAAATAATGAATGGGGCCATGCATCATGAGATTTTGAGTGCAAACCTCCTTCCATCAGCAAGGGCATTGAAGATGAAACGTGACTGGGTCTTTCAGCATGACAATGATCCCAAACACACCGTCTGGGCAACGAAGGAGTGGCTTCGTAAGAAGCATTTCAAGGTCCTGGAGTGGCCTAGCCAGTCTCCAGATCTCAACCCCATAGAAAACCTTTGGAGGGAGTTGAAAGTCCGTGTTACCCAGCGACAGCCCCAAAACATCACTGCTCTAGAGGAGATCTGCATGGAGGAATGGGCCAACATACCAGCAACAGTGTGTGCCAACCTTGTGAAGCCTTACAGAAAACGTTTGACCTCTGTCATTGCCAACAAAGGATATATAACAAAGTATTGAGATGAACTTTTGATATTGACCAAATACTTATTTTCTACCATAATTTGCAAATAAATTCTTTCCAAACCAGACAAGGTGATTGTCTGAATTTGTTTTCTCATTTTGTCTCTCATAGTTGAGGTCTACCTATGATGACAATTACAGGCCTCTCTCATCTTTTTAAGTGGGAGAACTTGCACAATTGGTGGCTGACTAAATACTTTTTTGCCCCAGTGTAAATGGATAGGTGTAGTCTCCAACTGGTTTTCTGCCACTTTCTGGATATATTATTTTTAATGTTTAATACGTATTTTCTTCTTTTTCAGGAAACTTGAGCTGGTTGAGGGAATGTTTGGATAACAAAGTTGGTGTCAATGGCTTAGATAAAGCTGGAAGCACTGCCTTGTATTGGGCATCTCATGGTGGACACAAAGGTAGAGAAATTATTTCAAACCTAATTGTTTTTTAACATTAAAGCCAATCTCATCCTTCATTTTGCAAAAAAAAAAAACCAGTTTCACACCCATTTTGTTTCTACTTACATATCTCTTACACATTTAAAAAAAATATTTATCTATTCAGTATCTAAGGGGTAGGCAACCTTGGCTCTTTTAGGACTTGGACTTCAACTCCCAGAATTCCTGAGTCAGCATGGCTCAGCTTGGAAACCTCTCCCTTTCCCCTCTGCATGGCTGGCTCAGGAATTCTGGGAGTTGAAGTCCACGAGTCATAAAAGAGCCAAGGTTGCCTACCCCTCATGCCATTTTCAATTTTATGCATAGAATTTACTTTAATAAATATACCATAGATAAAAAGATAGAAGGAGGGAGGAGGGAGGGAGGGAGGGAGACATTTTTAATGTAAATTATACTCACACATTTGGTGTCTGTTTTGACTGCATTACAAAATTTAGAGAAATGAAAAGTGTTGTTCACGTATTGAATTGGGAAGCACAATTTGACTTTCTTCCCCTTTAATATGTGTGTGTGTGTGTGTGTGTACACATTTATATATATATATATATATATATATATATATATATATATATATATATATATATATATATATATGTAGGTCTTTGGTTGTTCGGGTTTTCTCCCGCGTAAAATTGGAAGTGTCTTGGCGACGTTTCGACGAAGTTCCATTCGTCATCTTCAGGCTGGTGTTTTCAGCTTCGTGCTTTGAGCAGCAATGTGTGGTCTTAGCTGTTTCTTCCTTTTAACTGCCAGTGGGGGTATGAACTGATTGGGTGGGAGCTTGGCTGTGTTCTGATTGGGTGGAGGTGTGTTCTGATTGGTTAGGAGTTTGGCTGTGCTCTGATTGGATGGGGGGTTGGATTGGATGGGGGAGTGTTCAGAGCACAGCCAAGCCCCTAACCAATCAGAACACACCTCCACCCAATCAGAACACAGCCAAGCTCCCACCCAATCAGTTCATACCCCCACTGGCAGTTAAAAGGAAGAAACAGCTAAGACCACACATTGCTGCTAGAAGCACGAAGCTGAAAACACCAGCCTGAAGATGACGAATGGGACTTCGTCGAAACGTCGCCAAGACACTTCCAATTTTACGCTGGAGAAAACCCGAACAACCAAAGACCTACATACAAACACCCGCGAAAACCTCAGAAAACAAACACACACACACACACACACACACACACACACACACACACACACACATATATATATATATATATATATATATATATATATATATATATATATTAAATCAAAGGACGATCTTCCTTGACATTTCATTTATTGTATTAGTGACTCCAGTTTTTACCAGAGCCTTTTCCAGTTAATTTTCCCAAATCTAAAAATAAGAAAATGGGCCTTTTTGCTGATTAATTCAAAGTCTTGGCTTTCCTAATTTCTCATGAAATTTTCCATTTTTTTTTCTTCATTTGGTGTAGACATCGTGGAAGTGTTATTGACACAGCCAAAGGTAGAACTAAACCAACAGGTAGGGAATGGTACACTGAGTGACATTCAAGAATTGCTTTGCAGTGATGTAGTAGGTTACAATTGAAATGATCAAAACTGTTCCTTTCCAACCTTTAAGGTTAGTTTTGCTCTTTTTTTCACAGAATAAACTGGGAGACACAGCTCTGCATGCTGCTGCATGGAAAGGTTATGAAGATATCGTAGAAATTTTGCTGGGAAAAGGTACTGTGTTTCTCAACATACCCAAATTTGGGGTTAAATGTCTCTGTTTACCAAGAAATTTGTGTTCTTAAAATACAAGCTCTGTCCTCATAAATGTTCTCTCTTAACCCACAGCAATTCAACATTCAGAATAATGAATCTTAATTGTGTGTTATATCCAGATGAGAAACTGTTAATTTTCATAACAAGCTAACATATCAACCCATGATTTAAAAGATCATCTCTACTGTTCTAAAAGAAAAGTCTTTGTTGGTTTTTGCTAAAGAAGAAGATTATCAAAAGTGGTTTATATGGCCACCAGTTTGGAAGGACTCAACTTTAGCACAAGAATCATATATGGTTTTATTAAACCAAGATACAGTATGTACATAGTATACAGCTTTGTGCAATTGTATTAAATATCAGCATATACTTTATACAGTTGAGTAACCATATTTCCCCCACATTTTGAGAAAAATTCTCAATAAGACAGAAACTTATTCCTGAAGATTCCTAACATTAACTAGCAAAGAAATATGAATGGATAGAAATCCTCAGTGAAACCTGAAATTAATGTCAGATATTGCTTTGGTCCTTTAGAACAGAGGTCTCCAACCTTTTGGACAACAGGGACCAGTTCCGTGGAGAGAGGTTTTCCACGGACCGGAGGGGGTGTGCTTTTGTATGCTGCCTGCATCCCGCGGATGGGGCTTTCCTTGTTTGTGCAGACCGGTTGCTGGCATGCTGCGGCCCGGTACTGGTCCATGGACTGTGGGGTTGGAGACCCCTGCTTTAGAATATCATTGTGAAATTAAGACCAAACTTTGTGTATCTCACAGTATCTGCTAGCAGGAAGTTGACTTGAAACAGTTACTTAGAAGGCTACATCTATAAAGGTACAGAATCAGACAAGAGTGCTGCTGTAAAGTTGCTTCATTCTGGTTTGACAGTCTGAAGCTTGCAGATGGCCAAGGCATGTTGCAGTTCTCCTGCAGCCACCCAAATCTATTTGCCTCACAACAGACTGGACCTTCGAATTCTTAATAATTTAAAAATGTTGTGAAGAAGCACAGGATATTCTGCATTTACATTTCAAAAGCTTGAATGAGAAATTATGCCATTGTTATTAAGGCTTATTTTACACCCGGGTTAAAGTTTAGTTCCCTCACTTTGGAACTATCCATATTTTGCAATTTTATAATGTTGTTTTACACCAGCGGTTCTCAACCTATGGGTCGCGACCTCATTTGGGGTCGATCGACCATTTTACAGGGGTCGCCAAACAATGCGATCCGCCATTTTCCCCCCTCAGGGGGCGGCGCCGCACATGCGCGCTGCACATGGGGTGGCCCCCACGGATGTGCACCGCACATGGGGGTGGCCCCACGCATGTGCGCGGCACCACGCATGCGCAGCACGTTCGTGTGACAGGGGTCGCCGTCACACAAATGTTGAGAAACGCTGTTTTACACTTTAATCTTAAACTATTCAGTTTCTAATGTTTGATTGTATTGATTAAATTGTAGAGCCCCTCGGTGAGGTAGATGAGAGGCTAAAAAGTTTGATTGATGGATAGACAAACAAACAAACAAACAAATTGATTTTCCTAATTTTGGCTTAGCGTCTTGTGAGAATGCAGTCATTATGGGTTTGTAAACCATGGTTTATAATTATCAGGCTGCATGAAGCCAGCCGCTTGTGATTTATTCAACAGATTGCAGTAAATCCAAATGCTTTGCAAAGTGAGAGATTCTGCCTGAGTTTCAGAAACACGGGTTGATATCTAGGTAAAACAATCCTTCTCAGCATTTCATCTGATCCTTATAATTCCCCAGCCAGCCCTTGGGGAGTTGAAGTCCACAGGTCTTAAAGCTGCCCTGGTTGGACTCCCCTGCTTTAGACCTTCGATACATTGTGTGTATAAAAATAAGGATCAGATAAAATGCTGTGAAAGATTGTTTTACCTAGATACCAATCTATGACTTTGAAACTCAGGCAGGATCCCTCACTTTGCAAAACCTTTGGATTTACTGAAATCTATTGAATAAATCACAAGTGGCTGAGTTCATGCAGCCTGATAATTATAAACCATGGTTTACAAACCCATAGTGACTGGGTTCTCACAAGACGCTAAGCCAAAATTAGGGAAAGCAATTTGTTTGTTTGTTTGTTTATCTATTAATCAAACTTTTTAACCTCTCATCTCCCTCACAGAGAGGCTCTAGGAGGGTACAATTTAATCAGTACAATCAAACATTGAATAATTTAAGATTAAAATATAAAAATGTAAAACAACATTATAAAATTGCAAATAATGGAGAGTTCCAAAATGAGGGGATTAAGAGTTGTGAGGGCGGAGTTTCCAATGGGGCCAACCATTCCCAGGGCTGTGTCAGCCTCTGTGTTCCCCACGCAAGACCACACAGCCTAGTTATGGTTTAACATAACATAACATAACATAACATAACATAAATGACACCAGTCCAAGTTTGAACTTAAGTTAAAGAGTAAATATTATCAGTCATGCTTCTTTATTGACTCAGAGAAGTCTCTTTCTATAATACCTTTTCATTTCTATGATGACAGCCCTACATACCTCAGATCTGATAGGAAAGTAGTTCAGTTTTTAGATAAGAATCAAAAATAAGATAAGAGGAATTTTGTTTCTCTGTCCAAACTGAGGACAGTGTTGTCCTGTTTTCTATTTTCATCAAGGTGCCAGAACAGACTTAAGAAATAATGAGAAAAAACTGGCTTTGGACATGGCTACCAACGCTGCCTGTGCTTCCTTGCTTAAAAAGAAACAAGGACAAGGTAAGATTTAACCTTTTTTTGCACTTATGGCTCTCCCAGGACAATTGAACTGCTCCAAGCAATTGAAGGCTTCAGTAGGTAGGTGGCTATCCCAAAAGAAAATACACTAAATTTATACTCTTAACTAGGGGTATCATATTGTGGGAATACCGGATTCCAGTCAGTAATGGAATAGCAAATAACTAGTCTTGCCCCAAAAGACCCTGACATTTGAAGTGGGAGTTAAATTACCTTCCCTCAATCAGGGTCATCATGTGAACCCCAAACCAGTAAACTGTTAGGCAATTTCCAAACTCCACCCATTCTATTATCTACCCAAGAAGACCTGGAGACAATGAGAAGCCTCTCCATTACATCCCTCACTACTCAAACCTACACAACACAGAGTCCAATTTCCAAACACAGATGGTTATAACTGCTATTTTCCTGGACATGGGGAAAGGGCCAACAACGTAACAACGGAATGTAAATAATGTCAACGGCACAAGGGCTCAAGCAAGATCGGAGAAAGCAAGTGATAGTACTCCATTCCCCAAAATGTAAACTTTTGACTGGTGTGGGTGATTGTGATTGTGTGCTACAACTACTACCAAGAAGATATGATTGGGTTAATGACTGATCTGTGAATACAGGAGTAGTTCATCTTTCTTTTTTTCCCCTCAAAAATATATGAAATGCTCTGAGGAGGAAAAAAGTGTACAACCTGTAAAAGCCTTGATAGACTTGATGTCAACTCTTCATTCATTTTATATAGCTGCTCATCTCAAGTACATAATTCTGAGTGGCTTGCAATTAAAAACAAGACAAAAAACCCAGAATACAATATCAAAACATATAGAAAGCTTTTAAAACCATATAAAATATATAACATAATCTTCAAGTGACGTATTAAAAACAAGCAGGGAGAATGCTTGAAATATAATTATTCTAAGAATATAGAGTTGTATTTGAAATGTGAGAAATGTAGCTTAACCAGAAGTTGGAATAAAGGGAGATACATTCTAAAATGATCAGCCTAGCTGAAAACTGACCATTTTATATTTGTTTCCTTTTTTATAGACATAATGCGAACATTAAGCAACGCAGAAGACTATCTTGATGATGAAGACTCTGACTGAATTGCTTTAATTTTGCCTTGAAAATCGATAGCTTCTTTTTTATCCTTCTCAGATTCTTTTCCTCTGCTGTGATAAAATATTTTTTACTCACAATATGTGCTACTATAATTTAAGTTTGGGGAGACATTCCTTATAAAAAAAGCTCTCTCCTATTAAGGCTATAAATTCCCTAATTACTTTTTAAATTATTTGTCTAGAAGAGGGCTATACTGAAATAGGCTTCCTCTGTTAAATAACAGGAACAGCATTTAGAGATGTCAGCCATTTGGATGGCGAATATGTATTCATCTTAAATTATGCCTGACATGTTTTAGGCTATTTTATGGAGGAAAAATCTCAGGAACTTGGATTCTCCACAGAACATTTTCACCATTACCCCTTCTCCCCCTTTTCCCCTTTCATATATATATTTACAGGTAGTCTCTCATTAAGTGATCTACTTTGTGCTAGAACTCCTAATGGCAGGTTACATAAAGAAAATTTGGGCCAGGGAGCTAAAATGACTCCTTTAATGTTTCCCTTGAGAACTGGCTGTGATAGCAATTACTGTAAGTTCATTCGCATGCCACCAAAAATAGAAGTTTAGCACCAGATGAGACAGGGAGAAAATAATCTTGGGGGAAAAGAGAGAAAATGAAAGAAAGATTGTTTGGTCAGCTAAAATACAGCCATTTTGCCTTGATAGTTGTTCATAGCAGTCTTTTGCAGTTTAATACCCTTTGGACAGGGGTGTCCAACCTTGGCAACTTTTAGACCTGTTGGACTGCAACTCCCAGAATTTCTCAGCCGTCCATGTAATTCTGTGAGTTGAAGTCCACAGGTCTTAAAGTTGCCAAAATTGAACACCCTTGCTCTAGGGGTCTTGTCAATACAATTGGATATATAGAAGTTGCCTTAGAGAGTAAAAGGAGGCTTTATCTGTATTCTACAATGGAAGAACTGTATCGAGAATTTGATCCTAGAGACAAGGAATGTATGTTTAAGCTGAAACCTGTCCTCCATAATAGTAATTTTGGAGATGAAAAAAGGCTGAGCACACTCTTTCTCTCTAATTTGTATATGTGAGATATTTTCCCAATGGTTCATTTTCTTGGCCCTGTATTTCACAGAATTGCTGCCCTATGTATGTATGTATGTATGTATGTATGTATGTATGTATGTATGCATGTTGATGTGCTTGTGTGTGTCCAAGTCCTAAATTTTAAGTGGAGGCAAAATGAGGTAAGATATCCTCAGTTGCCTTGCTTTATGGCTTTATGAGGTAATAAGCCAAGAAATATGGCATCTATCCAACTGAACACATGGAGAATCCTGTTAGTTTATCTGTACCATTTCCACCAGCTATTGAGCAAACAATGGAATAGTATAATCCTGTTAAGTCTCATCTTCTGTTTCACCTAAACGTCTGGTTGAAGTTGTTGCTACAGACGAATCCAACATTTGGAGTTAAGAGAGATATAATAGGCCAATCCATTTCTGCCCTTTATTATATCTGTAGATTACAACATAGACAGGGCAGTAAATCATTTTTCCTAAAGTGTTCCTGGCTGGAATAATGGGAGTTGCATTGAAACGTATCTGGAGTATATAATATTGGGACCAGCTGCACTAGTATTTATACTAGAATTCATTCACTGAGGACCATGGTACATAACCTGTTTGTACAGGTTGCCCACTTAATTTGGGGGAAATTTACCCGGAGATACACGTTATTCTGCTGTAATTTGAAAGATATTTGTGGTTGTGTCTGTAACAGGATGTTGATGACTCTTTTTGCCATATGCTCTTAACTTTCCTGTTTCTTTTCATCTTTAAAGTATTTCATTTCAAAACGGATATGTTTCTGAACTCGTGATGTAAAAAAGCCTATGAACCAAAAGTATCTTCAGAAAAACATTCAGTATGAATAAATATTTTTAAATGCTTTGAAACTTCATTGTAGTTCTTCCTAGATCAACATGACTTTGCCAAGGGCAAAATAAGTAGCGATCGCGTAGACAAACCTGATATCAAATTGGGACTATAGATTTGGGGGTGCCATAGAAGAGCAGCAAATCTTACATTATTTACCCTTCACGTGCATGTTTGTTGCCAGAGAGGGTGACATTTTTATCTTAAGTGCCCGAGTGACTTTTCTAGTCTTAAGTGCCCTTTATTATAACTACTGGTAGTAGAGAAAGACAGAATTGTTGCTCTGCCTAAAGGACCAGAGTATCATGGCCTGTTTCAGAGACTGTGCCTCAGAAATGCTTAGTGAATTACTGCTGCATTTCAACCAACTTACTCAGAGTGAAGAAGCTGCAACTATAAATCCATTTTAAAAATGTGCATTTATTGTAGATTGGGTACAGGCTTTACTGCAAAGCTAATTATTGTTTCACATTAATTTACGTCCAACACAGTGTCTCGGAATGAACCCTTTTCTCCCTTTTGCACATATAATTAAGTTCTTCAGATGTTTGTCTTATTTTATAGGGCTCTTACAACTCCAGACATGTTTACAGCACAAATGCTTCTGTGGATTAGTAATTTACTTGGGTTTTTATGAGGTTTTTACTTTATGTTCTTGTCCTATCTGCATATAGAAGATAAAGTTTGTGGCAAGAGTTTTAAACAGCTTTAAACAAGTAATTCTATTTCATTGCATTCAATCTGGTTTACTATTATATAAACTAATAGATCTTTCCTAACGAATATTCATTATGTGTTTATTTGCATATCATACATTTACCATAAACAAATGTGACTTTCAAAAAGAGATTCTACGCAAATGAAGGGTACTTTTTATCTGTTTGAAAGTTAACATTTCATTTTGACCGTCCTCGGAAAAACTTTCTAATGGGAAATGGAGATTTGAGTTACAAATTTCTGCATAATTTCTAATTACAGGACATCCAAGTAAGCCTTAAGGCATAATCTACTTTGCATTAAAACCATGGTTCAGAAGTCAAAAACCTATAGCTGTCCAAATTATGTTGAATCCAGAATCCCATCTACCACAGCTAGGATGATCAATATTTAGGAATCACTGGGGATATAATCAATTCCTGACAAGATCAGGTATCTTATTCATCTTTCAATAAGAAATGTAGAGCAATATGCTGAGGAATAGAAATTTCCATACGGATTTAAGAAGCCAACAAAAATACATTGGAAAAACCTTGTACAGGGCTAAATTTGGAAAAACAAAATACATACACCCTAGCTTTTGTTTGTCTTTTCATTAGGTAATGATGGAATCCGAAATGGCTCTGAGAATATCAGTTTGGACAAAATCAGAAGTGGTAGCAAAATCAAATATATGAAATATCACTCTTGAGTATTTTTAAAAAACTTATAAAGTTATACTATGAAAATTCCGCCTGACAAATATGATCATAAAATACAATACTGATAAAGCAATAAAAATACTGCTAAAAGCAATCACAACTCATTTATTGCTCTATAGTCTTAAGATATTTTGTAGAGACAAGGCAAAGCTCTTCCAGAGCTAAAATCCTTCCTCCAGGGTTTTATGTGTGGCTTCAGAGGTTTTCCAAAAGTTGCTTCCAAACTGATTTCAATAGGTCTGAATGAGACCACTCTGTATATGGAACAATATTGTATTTAATTAATTTTAATTAATTAATTTAAGTTACATTTTGTTGGGTTTTTATAGTCTTTCTACTTTCTAGCTGCAAGTACTAACAAACTTCTAAAAAAAACTCAAGAAGGATTTAATGTTAAGTGTACAGTACTTAATTAACGCCAGGCATAAAATAATTTAATGATTAAAAGCCCAGTAAAAAAGATGCATCTAATTTAAGGAGAGGTCAACCCCGACTTCCAAGGGAGGGTACTGTAAGTCTAGGAGCAATGCAGGAAAGAGGCCTTCTCTCATTTTCCAGAGGAATGGAACTTGACCGCAGCAAAATCCTTCCAAAAGGCTTATTCTGCAGATTTTAACACCCCAACAGGTTTCATAACACAAGAAGCAGTCCCTTAACAGCCTTAAGTCATGTAGATTTTTAATTTAAATTAAATAAAATTATACTGAAGTTAGAAGTTGTCTTGCTTCATCACCATCTAATGTCTTCATAAAAAAAAACCTCCGAATACCGAATTCCTCCATGCCCCAAGCCATGCAGCATATTAAAGAGAAGCACTAGTGTTTTTTTTTTTTCAAATTGTGCTTGGCAACAAGCCATTTCCAGTGAAGATTTCTAAAACCTGGTTACATATCTCCACCAACTGAAAAGTTATCTTTGAAGCCAGACAAAACTTTTCATGGACTAGTAACTTTCTGAACTACAATGAAATGTAGGTACCAGTAAGTCTATCTCTGAAAAATGACCAAGAAACCAATGTTCTTCTAGGCCAGGCATGTTCAACCTATGGCCCATGGGCTGGATGAGATCCTGGACAACCCCGTAAGACCTCAAAAAATAAAGTTGGTTATTTTTGTACATTATCTATACTAAATATTTTATGTCTGGCCCAAGCAATTCCTGTTCACTCAATGTGGCCCAGGCAATTTAGACACGCCTGTTCTAGATCTACAATAGCTTCCCCCATTTAGCCACTGCAAAATTCTTTGTGCTCTACATAGATTTCTTGGGAATGGTTTAATGAATTCCTGTAGTGAGCAGGATTAAATGGTACAGAAGCTCTCTTCTTCCAACATACATATCCATGTATATATACAGACTGACGTTCATAGATTCTATAGATCTATGAATGCCCATCTGTCCTCAAATGATAAAGCAGCTTTGCTGTGACTATTAACCAGCAGAGCTTGTGAATTACTTCAGCCTTATAACTGGGCACTTTCAGCCATGCCTGTATTTAGCCAGGATGAAGCTGAATGAGGAAGGAAAAAACTTTTGTTCTTATAACTGAAGTCATATTTCTTCATGGATAATGTAATGCCCCTCTATAGTGGAAGAGTGCCTGGTAGAACTAAGACGAAAAGTAAATGAGGAGTTTCATTCTTTCTCCAAAGGAACAGACTGAATAGTGGGCAGCTCTTCTCAGAACACTGATCTGATCTCTTGCAAAGGGACTTTGGAACCAGATTAAGGCAAATACTGTGTAAGATCCACCTTTAGCTTTGCTGCAGTGGTATTGATCATGACCTACAAATTATGATGTGGGAGATTTGCACTCTTCTGTTATTCAGGTGATCAGCTCACCTGGAATTCTTAGTATTTTCTAGAGGAGTCATTTTGAAAATAAATCTGAGTCACATTTAGAAAGTGGAAATGACGGTTCCATGACATACTAACCTTCCTTATTGTGAAATAATGCAAAATCTATATGCAAGTGTTACACTCTGAAGTTAATTAATCTTAGGATAATTTCTTTCCCACAAGCTTTGCCATTTCTCTAAATCTATATTGTATCCAAAATTCTTTGCCCATATTATCATTGTTTCTTTTACTTGTTCATCTTCCATTTTCAAATTCAGTAAAAAGTTACACATTTTCTTAATTAGTTTTTCTTCAGAGGTTAATAATATCTGATCAAACAAGATCTGCTCTCTGTAAAATCCATACAGTTTAACATCTTTATGATATCTCACTTGCATTTGTAAATATGACCACCATGATAGTTCAATACCCTGATTTTCCATCTCTTGTTTAGATTTTAAGTTCCCTTCAGAATTTAGAATATCTTTATATGTCCATATTTTCTCAAGACTGTCTAAATTTGGATGTACAAATGTTTCCATTGTTGAAAGCCATCCTGGAATTTTCAAGTATATTTTACATTTTATTTTCCCCCATGTTAGTAATAATGCATTTCTAATGTAGTGGCTTTGAAAATATTTATGAATTTTATTTTTCCCATACCATAAGAAAGCATGCCAACTGAGCTGTAAGTCATGTCCCTCCAAGTACAACAATCTTTTATTTCTAAGATTATCCATTCTTTTAACCCAAGTTAATGCTGATGCTTTGCCAATAAATTGACAATGTCAACCTCTTATAAAGAAAACTAATAGAAAATGTTTTCTAGATGGCACTTGCCACCAGCAAGATTAGCAAAAATGTTTTAAAATATGTCAGGTAGATGTTGGAAATGTAATCACAAATCAGGTACTTATTATCATGTATGGTGGACATGTGTTAAAGCAAAGAGATATTGGACACTATTCCTAATAATCTCAAAAGTTTCTGGTTTTGCATCTTTCTCAGAAAGATGAGCCCAGCTTTCAGTCTTTTGTTCATGAAAATCATATGAGCAAGGAAGGAATGTGAGAATGGTGCCTGTGAAAGATGTATAGAAAGAAGTCCACTCTTTCTTCCTGTGAACTCCAGCACATCTATTTTTGCCTGCAGTTCTGGACTGATTTCTCCAAAGCCAATCTGGCTTTCATGGTGAACAAGATTCCTCATCTTAGTCAACACATAGCAAAGCATCATTTTAACATTGCTGGCAGCGTTCCCATTGCTCAATAGCGTTTAGTCTCTGTACAGTAGTCTTTGTGTAACTTACTCACACATACCCTTCTCCTTCAGAGAAAGCCTTGTCAAAATGGTCCACCTATATAACAAGAATGAACTTTTTTTCTATTTATTACTTTCCAGGGCTGAGTCCAAACATGTTTCTTTTCAAGGAAATAAGCTTTCCAACTCAAGAAAATGGAGAAATCAATCTGTCTTACCAGTTGAAAACTACACTGACAGAATTTACAGCTTCACTACCGCATCCTTCCTCTGCAAGATGGATACCCTGGGTGAATATGCATGATATTCTTCTCTGCTGATGAGCAGAAGTGCCTGAAGAGAAAAACAGCTACTAGAATACAGGCAGATTGGTACCCTTCACATGAAATGCACCTGAAATTAGAACGTTTCTTCAGACAGCAGCAAAGAAGCCTGCATAAATTATTTATATTTCATCCACCTTTCAAGGATCAATGTTAATGCAGAATTTTTGGTATTTTCGC